TCTAGGTTAGTGGTTCTAAAACTTCAGGGTGAATAAATGTCACCAGAGGAGCTGGAGGAAAAAAAAAAACAGACTGATTCAACTGGTTTGCTCTGGGACTCAGATTTTGCCTTCTTTCCTTTCTTCAGCTCCCAAGGTGAGTCTGATGCAAATGGTCAAGGGACCTCAGTTGGATGGGTATTGGCCAAGCACCTCTGTCATCCTTGGCTGGGCCTCTGCAGACACAAGAAGAGTTGTTCAAGGGACAGCCACAGGGCTGGAGTAACTGCCTTCTGGCTATCAGGAGGCTCTCCTGGGCTTTATACTGCGTATATCTATCTTCACTTCCCTCTTAAAAATAACTTTCAAAGGGACATTGTTTCTTGCAAAAAGATGTTTCCTTGAGGGAAACACAGAAGTCAGCTGTTCTCTGGAGCTGTCTGGTGTCTGTGGGTGATGAACGACTCCACACATCCACGCAACACAACCATAACTCTCCCAGGATGCAGATGTGAAATCTACTGAGCAACTCCCTTTCTCTTTTTAGAAAATGGTCCTAGGAAGCCAATCTTTCTTTCAGGTCCAGGAAGATGTGAATGCCTGGAAGGGTTTGGGTTGAGCCACTTTGGTGGGGATCTGGGTCCATGAGAGGAAGTGTAAAGCTCTGTTCGCTCTGCGCGGGAGCAGGAAGGTTCTGTCGCTGCTTCCCGGTTCTGACATGTTCCTGCTGTACTGCATTCTGTATTTTATTGATTGTGCATTCACTGTATGCCCATCTCTGCTACACGTGGGTTGCAGGAGCCATCGGAAGCCTGAAGTCTTGCCACTGCCTGGGGGGAGGCAGGTACCATAGTTTGTAACTAGATTATTTATTGGTTAGCTTTGTTCCTAGATGCTATGGAGAAACTTTAAAAAAAAAAAAAGTATTAATCAGGGAGGACTACCATCTACAATGAATAAACTACAAATGTTAGTGGAATATAAAAAAGGTTTATTTCTTCCTCACATCACAGTCCAGTGTGGATCAAAGGAAGGCTTTTTCCAAACAATCATTGTGATTCACTTCCCTTTTACCCAACAGCTTCCATCATCCCCATGGGCCTTGGGGTCTCTGCCCAGCCACTGAGGCAAGATCAAGAGCACAGAAGGTCAAGTAGGGCAACCTAGATTCCATCACAGCCAACACCCCAGGGGTGGGAGATCCATGCCATGCCCACTCGCCTGCCCAGGGCAGGGGAAGGAGAGATATGTACACCAGCCAAGCACCACAGGAAAAGGAGACAGACCTGGTGCACACATGTGTGCAGCATTCTCACTGCCATACCAGGTGCCAGGGGTGGTGAGGTACAGGGCTGGAGAGGTGCTCTTTAATTTTTGCCTGACATCGGTGGTCAGGGAAGCCCCCTCCAGGGGAAATGACATTTCAGATACAGTTGGATAGTGGACAAAGATCCAGGCATGGGCAGATCCAAGAAAAGAGGGCTATAGACAGAGGGATGGTGGTACAAGCTCCTGAAGTAGCGTGAGCTGGGTGTGCTAGGAGACTCAAGGAGAAGCTGGCTGAAGCAGCTGAAGTCAGAGGTGAGAAAGAGGTAAAGGAAGAGTTTCATGACTCTTATTGCAGAATGGTGAGACAAGCTTTATTCCAGATGATGGAGATAGGTAAAGGATTACTGCAATGAGTGTTTGCAGTATGAAAGAGACTGGGCTCAACTCAGAATACAATAAAGACAAGTGGAAATTTATAGGAGAGGTGCAGCAGGACAAGTCACAGACAAAACCCCTCAGACACGGAGTTAAAGAAGGAAGGGCTTTATTTGGCCGGGAGCTTTGGCAAGACTCACGTCTCCAACAACCGAGCTCCCCGAGTGAGCAACTCCTGTCCCTTTTAAGGGCTTACAACTCTAAGGGGGTCCACGTGAGAGGGTCATGATCAATTGAGCAAGCAGCGGGTACATGACTGGCGGCTGCATGCACCGGTAATCAGAACGGAACAGAACAGGACAGGGATTTTCACAATGCTTTTCCATACAATGTCTGGAATCTATAGATAACATAACCGGTTAGGTCGGAGGTCGATCTTTAACCAGGCCCAGGGTGTGGTGCTGGGCTGTCTGCCTGTGGATTTCGTTTCTGTCTTTTATTTTTTACTTCTTTCTTTGGGGGCAGAAATTGGGCATAAGACAATATGAGGGGTGGTCTCCTCCCTTAAAGGTAGCAGCGTGAAGGTCTGGGAAAGGAAAATTACAAAGAGGAAACCTCAGGGGTAAGGGAAAGGGCGGGGACAGAGGTGGTTTCTGGCTAAACTGACCTGAAAAGATTCTTGCTGAAGGCAGGCCAAGGTGATCAGACATCACCGGAGGAAGGTGGCAGAGGAGGGCCCTGATTGGATGAGATATGGAGGCTGATCAGGCATGGAGAATGGGAGATTCTGGCTAAACTGACTTAGTAGGAGTCTTGCAAAAATTGGACAATGCAGAAATGAATGTGGAATCTCACAAGGTGGGCCTCGCAGAGAAAAGAGTTCAGGATAGCCTGACTACAGTTTGGTCCAGGAGAGAGGAGGCTGGAAAGGGATGAGGTCAGAGAACAGGATGGGGCAGGTTGTGCTGAGCTCTGGGGGCCACACAGGGCACCTGGTCTGTATGACGTGGGCAACGAGTGACATGAACTGATGCACTGTGTTAGGATCATGCTTTAAAATTACATTTTCAAAACTCTGCACTGATGACACAGATAGGTACTCAGGGAGATTGAAGGATAAAAGACAATTCCTTCCCTAAAGAGCATACAACAAAAAAGTAATCAGATCCTGCCTATTCGTATTTAAATGTCATGGTGAGTGAGACAGAAAACACATATGTTAACAATTCAGTGAGACTGACGTGGCCTGGAGTAGTCAGAGAGAAAAGCAGGGAAATCGGATCTGAAAGGACGATGAGCATTTGGCAAGCAAAGGGGAGGTGAGAGGGAGAAGGGGCTCCAGGCAGAGTCTGCACCAGCAGATACAGAAGGAGCATGAAGTGTATTCGGGGAATCTGGGAGAGTCTCAGGCTGGAACGCTTGCCTCCGGTGAGAAAGGAAACCCCGCAGCTCCCCAAGAAGATGTCAGTATCATGACTGCACTCCTTGAGGCCAATTTCCTAAAATGAAATTATATCGAACCCTGAATTAGACAGTGGAGTTGTTTTCCTCGATAACGAGGGCCAGAGCAGATCCCCAATAATTCTGAGCTCATTTGCTCCTTCCGGGCCAGCTGGTCTTTAATGGGTGACCTTATTAATTTAACTCGATTCATGAGAGAGTACAAATTGCTGCTCTAAAGGGCTGGAAAACGTGTTGGTTTCTCTGCCAGGGATCTCAGTGGGGATGTAATTGTGCTGGGTCAGGAAGGTGTCAGTGCCCCAGAGCTGCTATCCAGCCACAAGGATGAGCTGGGACTGGGGACAGGTGCTGGCTGGATTCTGTTCCTCCTAGCTCATTATTTCAAGGAGAAATAATGTCTCATTAACACTTCCCATATGCACTGGTCCTAGGCAAATTCCAGAGAACTGTGTTTCCACTGAGCCAAATTTGCATTAATTTGTACATTACACCTTACAAAAGAGTTGGGCATGCTGATACAATTAACAACTCTTTATTTCATATTTTGGTAAGATAAGGGAATTCAGAGTGAAAGAACTAATGTTTAAGAAAATAAAAGGCCAGGCACCGTGGCTCATGCCTGTAATCCCAGCACTTTGTGAGGCCAAGGCAGGTGGATCATTTGAGGTCAGGAGTTCGAGAGTAGCCTGGTCAACATAGTGAAACCCCATTTCTACTAAAAATACAAAAATTAGCCAGGCGTGGTAGTGTGCTCTTGTAATCCCAGCTACTTGGGAGGCTGAGGCACAAGAATCACTTGAACCCGAGACGCAGAGGTTGCGGTGAGCTGAAATTGCACCACTGCACTCCAGCCTGGGTGACACAGCGAGACTCTGTCTCAAAAAACAAAACAAAACAAAACAAAAAAAACAGGAAAATATTAAAGCCAAAACAAGATGTAGAAATGCTTATCATATCATGGTCCTCTACAATACTTAGATGAAATTCAGAAATTTATCCTGAATTTCTCGGCCGCCAAAGGAAGAAGGGAAATATCCTTAAATCAAAGCAAACCAGTCACTAAAAAGCATGCAGCTTCTCACATAAGTGCTAATAAAGAGAATTTGATTTGAAAAAAGAAATTTAAAATAGAATTGTTTCTAATGCTCCCCGCTGCAGGCTAATAGCAAGAAACTACAATACGATTTAGGAAAATAAAGTTTATCAAGAATGAAAAAATCTGCAGTGGTTTTGCATAATCTGAGGGTAAATTTTTAAACATAGAATACTGAGTGGGCTAAATGACCCCAGGCAATCTTTCATAAAACAAGCCCAAATAAGAGTGTTGAGTGCTGAGAAAAGACAACTGCTGTGTTTTCATTCAGCAAACACCTGGTCCATAACTCAGTTGTTCAATGTGGAGTCTTATGCCTGGCGCTAGAAATAGATGAATGAATAGCTATGACTTCTGTCCTCAGAACACTTATAGTCTATTCAGGAGACAGATGTATGGACAGATTATTGCAATTGCAACATGCTGTGCCTTGTGGGGGAAGAGAAGGGAAAAATAAACCTCATCATTAGCTGAGCTGCTGCTGACTCATGACTTCGGGAGCAATTGCTATGAGAGGTCTTCTAACATTATTTTTCTCTTGCAATGAGAATTTTGACCTGCTACAGTAGAGGTTTCTTACCTCCAAGTCACTGATTGATTTGAATTCTATTCTCTTTTCTCCTTTTTCTTTGTCCCTGTTTTGCAAGACCAACAGGTAAAATGGGAAATAAAGAAAAATGCACTTTAGTTTTGAAAAATCATAATCAAGGTAAGTTAATTAAAACTGACAAAAGATTTCTGGAGAAAAACAAGGGCCTAGTCTTTTTGATATTTGGAGCTACCACGGTGATTAAAATAACGCTCGGTCTGTTTGTGTTGGCAGGCCAGTACCAGAGGATTAACGAGCCTCTCCTAGACTGGGTAAGTCAGTTGCTTCCCTTATCTATTTTATAAGTCTTTAATATTTGCAAAGTAGGTGGATTTTATTCAAGATACTTAGTAAAATTTTTAGAAATCAACAGCAACAGGCTGGGTGCAGTGGTTCACACTGTAATCCCAGCACTTCGGGAGGTCAAGGCGGGCAGATCTCCTGAGGTCAAGAGTTCAAGACCAACCCGGCTAACATGGGGAAACCCCGTTTCTACTAAAAATACAAAAAAATTAGCTGGGCATGGTGGTGCGAGCCTATAATCCCAGCTACTCGGGAGGTGGAGGCAGGAGAATCGCTTGAACCCAGAAGGCAGATGTTGCAGTTAGCTGAGGTAATGCCATTGAACTTCAGCCTGGGCAACAGGAGTGAAACTTCGTCTCAAAAAAAAAAAAAAAAATCAACAGCAACAACAACAACAACAAATGCTTTTCTAAGTGGCATACTTTCTTGGCAAGAAAAACTGCATTTTAATTCTTGGGTATAAAACTGTAGCAGAACAGCCACAGACAAGAACCCCTCAGACACCGAATTGTAGAAGGAAAGGGCTTTATTTAGCTGGGAGCATCAGCAGACTCACATCTCCAAAAAACCGAGCTCCCTGAGTGAGCAATTCCTGCCCTTTTAAGGGCTTGCGACTCTAAGGAAGTCTGTGTGAAAGGGTCATGATTGATTGAGCAAGCAGAGGGTATGTGACTGGGGGCTGCATGCACCAGTAATCAGAATGGAACAGAACAGGACAGGGATTTTCACGATGCTTTTCCAAATGTCTGGAATCTACAGATAACACAAGCAGTCAGGTTAGGGGTTGATTTTTAACTACCAGGCCCAGGGTGCAGTGCTGGGCTATCTGCCTGTGGATTCCATTTCTGCCTTTTAGTTTTTACTTCTTTCTTTGAAGGCAGAAATTGGGCATAAGACAATATGAGGGGTGGTCTCCTCCCTTAAAACTATATTCCAATTCCTCAGCTATAAAATGGAAATAAAAATTAATTAACATGGTCATTGTGAAGACCGAATAAAGTGAAAATACCAACACACTGTGCTGGCAGGTGTGTTATGAGAAGCGCACTTCCTAACACTCATAGTAAAATTTTAAATTGAAATAAACTTTCTTGAGAGCAATTTCATAACATTAAGTAAGCAACATTAAAATACTCACTTTTTTGGCCCAATAATTCAATACTTAGGAGTTTAAAAAGCTAATCTAAAATATGTACTGATACTTAAACACATTCACATATTTTAAAATAATATATTTTAGATGGCAGCACGTTTGAATTATGCTAAGTATTCAGTAATACAAAAGTTTAACTGCATCTTGATACATCTATTTTATGAAATCATTTGCAATATTTACAAATAATTTTAACAACTAGAGAAAAAGATTAAAAGTTATAACATTAATTCAATATATTTTATTACAAGTAACTGCATAGGTATATAATTTAAAGTTATAACTTGCATATCTATAGATTAGATGGGCAGATATATGATTGATTGATTGATGATTGATTGATTCTGCTCATAAACTCATTGACTCTTTACTGTTTGAAGTAGCTCTTTAAGAATCTAACAAAAGCTATGGACCCTTACCCAGAAACACACATACACACACACACACAGGCACACACAAAAATTGTAAAAATTAAAAGGTTCATGGGTAAAGAATATTGAACCTCTAGTTAAAAATCCTTGAAATTGATAGAAAATAGATAATACATTGATAGATAAATAGATATAACTCTATATTTAAAACAAATATCTGTTTCTCTCTCTTTCTCTCTCTCTCTAAAGAAGTACACCAAAATACTTATATTTACTCATGGGTGCAAAAGTATCTTCTGACCTGGAGTGATGGTTGTTCTTCCCAGCATTCTTATCATGTCCTGACTCTATGACGTCTAGGAAGGTATTGGGTGGAAAGTTGGAAAATGGTTTCAGGCTCACATCCCAGTTCTTCCAGCAGGTCCAAGACTTTCCCCCAAGAAGCCATGCCCTAGAGAGCCTTGGTAATTGCCGTTAACAGTATGTAAATGGCACCTTTGCACACATACCCATCTGTGAAATCCCCAAAGGAGTCTCCTGCCTGAGCTCCAGCTCAGAGCTCACTGGGTGTACAGTTTCAGAACCGAGACACCGTCTCTCCCTTTGCTGTGTCAACAGTGAAACTTCCTGGAGTTCACATACTAGCAACTTTGCTTTGCTTTGTCCTGGGTACTGGGCTCTACCTATGACTCAGCACACATCAACTAGAGAAAAAAGATACAACAGGTACTGAGTTCCTGCTGTGGGATAGATGCCAAAGTAGAGCGTTGAGATACATTTTCTCAACTAACAACAACGAGATAAGGTGGGTTTAGTCATCTCCAATTTACAGATTGAACCTATCAGTCAGGGAGCTTAAGTAACCTTCCCAAGAATGCGAGATCAAGAGTCGTGTCCCTGCTTACACATAACACGATGCCGGCTGCAGATTTTAATGCAGAGGAGCACATTCCAGAATTCCTATGATGACTACTGCATGCGAGTGCATCTGTTACGGATTGGTGTCCATTCCTGTCAGTCTAGTGTTCAGACCCAGAGCCTTTGCTGAGTGCCTGTGTTAGTCTTCCAGTGTTGCCATAACAAAATGCCATAAACTGGATGGCTCAAACAACAGAGATTTATTTTCTCATGACTCTGAAGACCAGAAGTCCAAGATCAAAGTGCCAGTAGGGTTGGCGAGAACTATCCCCTTGTGATGCAAATGACTCCCTGTGTGCTCACATGGCCTTTCCTTAGTGTTTGCATTTGGGCACGGGTGAGGAGAGAGAGGGAGAAACCCAGAGAGAGAGAGAGAGAGACAGAGAGAGAGAGAGAGAGAACTCTCTGATGTCTCTTCTTATAAAAACACTAATCCTTTTAGATGAGAACCCCACCCTTATGACCTTATTTAATCTGAATTACGTTTTTAGAGGTACCATCTTCAAATACAGCCACACTGACGGTTAGGGCTTCAACACACGAATTTGTGTGAGCAGTAGGGGGTGGGGTGGGGGTAGAGAAACATTTAGTCTATAACAATAGCCAAAGCAAAACCTAAGGTTAGAGAGGAATCGTTGAGACCATCTTTTATGGCAACTGTTCTTATTAACAGTACAAATATGTAGAAATCCCATTTTACAGATGAAAAAACTAAGCTTCAAGGCAAAGGCATATCTCCAATCTAGCAAAGTGAAGACTTTAGTCAAAGTCTTCATGTCCAAAGTCCAATGACACTTACTCCACCTCAAAAGTTGTGCAATACCAATGGTCTATAACCTGGTCTCCTGGCTCCATTTCAGGAATGGAAAAATGACCAAAAATGAAAAAAAAAATGATAGTCTTGGCCAATTCACTTGGAGAGTGGGGCAGCTGGGGGGATATGAACCCATATATTTTTCTCAACTATACATTTTACCTAAATTCTCACACCTAAACCTGATTGAATGAACTAGAATGTCAAAAATGATGGTGTCAGCTTTAGCACAAAATTTCACCTTGCAGTTGCTTTTACTGCGATAGTGTCACATTTTAGGACAATATACAGAGAGTGGTGTCACTTCTTGAAGCCTCACCCTTAACAGTAAAGACCCAAATAATTGCATTTGTTTTCCATTGCTCCCATAACACATCCCCACAGATTTGGCAGCTTGACCATTTGTTATCACACAGTGGATGCAATCAGAAGTCTGAGCACAGCATGGCTCAACTAGATCCCCTGTTCTGGGTCTCACAAGACTGAAAGCAACATGCTGGCAGGGTTGCATTCTCCTCCAGGGGCTCTGAGGAGGAACTTGCTTCCAGATTCTTTTAGGTTGTTTCATAGAATCCAGTTCCTTTCTACTGTCGGACTGTGGTCCCCATGTCCCTGCTGGCTGGCTGCTGTCAAATCCTTCTACACTTGGACTCTCTGTAAGTCATCCTTCTGCCAGATCTCTCTTTCTTTCTCTTCTGCTTCCTTTCTCTGACTTCCTCTTCTGCTTCTTAAAACAGGGTTTTTTTTTGAGATAAAATATACATGCCATTCAGTTTACCCATTTTATGAGTACAATTCAATGGTTTTTTAGTATATTCGCAGAGTTTTATAACCATCACTCCAATCAATACATTTTTATCATCTCAAAATGAAACCCAGTTCCCTCTTCCCCCAGATGCTGGCAAATATTAATCTACTCTTTGTCTATAGATCCTCCTGTTCTGGGCATTTCATATAAACAGAATCAGGCAACATTCCACTTTGTATATGACTACCTTCTTATCATTTAGCATAATATTATCAAGGCTCATCCATGTTATAGCATACATCAATACTTTATTACTTTTCATTGCTGAATAATATTCCATTGTATGACTATACAACACTTTATTTACCTGTGCAGTAGTTCATGGATATTTGGGTTATTTCCACTTTTTTTACTATTAAGAATAATACTGCTATAAACATGTGCTACTTTTTGCATGAATGTGGAATTGCTGGATTACAGGGTAGCTCTGTGTTTAACCTTTTGAGGAACTGCCAAAGTGTTTTCTGCAGTAGCTGTACCCTATTACATTCCCATCAGCAATGCATGAGAGTCTCAAATTCTCCACATTCTTGTCAGCCCTGATTATTATCTGTCTTTTTTTTAATCATCTTGGTGGTGTATGGCTGACATCTCATTGTGCTTTTGATTTGCATTTTCTTAACGGCATCTCTCCATGGGATTATTGATGATTTGTATATCTTCTTTGAAGAAACATCCATTCAGATCCTTTTCCCACTTTAAAATTTGGTTATTTATCTTTAAATCATTGCATTGCAAGAGTTTTTCATATATTCTGGATTTAAGCTGCTTATCAGATACATGATTTGCAAATATTTTCTTCATTCCACAGTTGCCTTTTTATTTTTTGTGGTCTTTTGAAGCACACAGATTTTCATTTTAATTAAGTCCAATTTATCTATTTCTTTTATTGCTTGTATTTTTTGTTCTATCTAAAAAACCATTGCCTAAGCCAAGAAATGAAGATTTACTCCAATATTTAAGAGTTTTATAGTTTTAGCTGTTATATTTATGTTCATGGCCCATTTGCATTTAATTTTTGCATATGATATAAAAAAGAGGTTCAACTTCACTATGATGCATGTGGATATCCAGTTGTCTCGGGACTATCTGTTGAAAGACTATTCTTTCTACCCATTGAATTGTCTTAGCACACTTCTTAAAAATCAATTAACCCTAAGTGTAAAGGTTTATTTCTGGACTCTCAATCATATTCCAATTATCTGCATATCTATGTTACTACCAATACCACATTGTCTTGATTACTGCATCTATGTACTAACTTTTGAAATAAGTGTTAGTCCTCCAACTTTATCTTTTTTTTTTTTAACCCAAGATTGTTTTGGCTATTATTGGTTCTTCTTATTTTCATAAGAATTTTAGGATTATCTTGTCAATTTCTGCAAAATAAATCAGTATATTAATTTGCAAAGTATTTCTATTTTAACAAGATTAAGTCTTCCAATCCATGATCATTGGTCATCTTTCCATTTATCTAGGTCTTCTGAAATTACTATCAACAGTGTTTTGCAGTTTCCAGAGTACAAGTTTTGCACTTCTTTTGTTAAATTTATTTCCATATATTTTATTCTCCTTGATGCTATGCTAATATAATTGTTTCCTTTTTAAAAACATTTTCGTACAGACGAGGTCTCACTCTGTTGCCCAGGCTGTTCTCAAACTCCTAGCCTCAAGCAATCCTCCTACCTCAGCCTCCCAAAGCGGTGGGATTACAAGCATGAGCCACTGCACCTAGCCCATTTTCTTAATTTCTATTTTCAGTTTATTACTAATTTATAGAAATATAAATTGTCATTACTAGCGTATAGAAATACAATTGAATTTGGTATATTAATCATGTATCCTGACACCTTGAGGAATCATTTATTAGTTCTAATAATTTTTTTAGTGAATTATTTAAATACAAGATTATCTTATTTGCAAATAGGTCCTCTTTCTGCTTCTAAGGGTTCATGTGATTACACTGGGCCCACCCAGGTAATCCAGGATAATCCGCCCATTTTAAGGTCAGCCAATTAGTGACCTTCATTACATCTGCACTGTCCCTTCACAGCAGCACCTAGATTAGTGTTGATTGAGTAATCAGAGATGGGAATATCGGGAGATATCTTTAGAATTCTCACTAGCGCAAGAATTAAACTTCTATTTAAGATCCCAGAACCTAGACTCTTAAGTATTTTACTTGCAGCTAAGAAAGTCTATCCCACTTCTCTAGCCAGCACTGTAGCCTGTCTTTGTCAACACTGTATCTTCCTTTGAATCACTGGAATGTTACCACCTGCTTAGGAAAGAAACTTTGCTGCAGTCCTGGGTGGAGCAAAAGGCCACAAAGATGATGACTATGATGACCCTGAGCTCCGGATGGAAGAGACGCGGCAGTCAATTAAAATTTTACCAGCCCGGCCTGTAAAGGAATCTGAATATGCAGGTAACGTTTAAGGGTCTGCCTAGAATAAGAAGATGCATATACGCGCCGCCATATTGCACGCTATTTAAAGGTGCGGTTTCTGAATTAAACAACCCTAGGTTAACATCTGCCCACATGACTTACTAGCTGTGTGACCTTGAGAAAGTCTCTCCAATTCACTTTCTCTTTCTGAAAACAGGGTTCATAATAATAGAAGTTGCCCCAGAGAGCTATTTTGAAGATTACATGAATGATGCATGTTGAGTTCTCACCAGAGGACCTGGTACCAAGCCAGAGATCTGTAATCCTCACCATTATTATCATGATGTTCTCCGTGAGCCCTAAGAACAACTGATGAGCATAACGGAGGGTGGATAGGCAGGGATGCGGCAACATGGGAAATGTTAAATGAGGTCTGCATAGAGGGGAGTAGAATGAAAAAAAAAAGACTTTTTAACTTGGTTAATTCATTGTGCAGCCAGCCAGCCAGCCTAAGAGCATCAGCAGGGCATGGCAGCAAAGCTGCAATTGTTGAGAATAAAGAGGACCTAATTTCATACCCGCCTCTGTCTCTAACTGTAGCACAAAGGGCAGCTTCAGCAAGTTCCTTGAGATAAAGCACCCTATTGTAAGGGGGAAGAGGAAGCATTCACGATTTCTGAGGGCCTGAACCACTAAAATGAATCTATAAAGTGTATTTGGAGAAAGTCATCCTGTAAATGATGATGACTTTTTTTGTTCAGTCATTCGATAAGCATTCACTGAGCATCTACTATGTGCCAGTTTCCATGTTAGGATTGATCGGAGGACACAGAGACAAACAATGCATGATCCTTACCTCAGGAAGGTGTAGTCTCATGGCAGAAACAGGCAGCTCAACCGATGAATGTGATAGAATATGTTAAGTGTGTAATATAGAAAGGAGAGCTGGCATGGGGTGTGGCTGGGTGGGATCTAGTAAGATTTTTAAAGGGCATGGCATAGCCCAAATCTTGCAAGAATTACAGAATTTCTAAGATGAATGAGAAAATGAAGAACGTTCAAGTTCAAACTTTGGCATTTATTTGTGTGCACTTAGAAGAGCAATTTCTTCTCTTCATACATCAGTCTCCTACTCTGTTAATTGAAAGCAGAATTGCTTGCCTTGTACTTACATTGTAATGATCCAGTGAGTTTGTAGATGTGCAAATACTTTGTAAATTGTAGTGTGCTGAGTCCACATAAGGTATGACTTTCATATTTTTCTGGTTGCACAGATACACGCTATTTGAAGGTTGCAATGGACACTCCCCTTCCGTTAGACACCAGGACCTCTATCCCCATTGGACAGCAGACCTGGAACACACAGACGAGGTTGGAAAGAGTGAGTAAAGGCTGGACCTTGTGACCCAAACATGTGTAGGGCTCTTCCTAACCAGCCAGAAACTGCCACATCTCCTGTCCCCCAGGCCATCTCATTAGGGAAAGAGCAGGTCGAGCTCATTGAGGTGGATGGGAGGTGACTCTTATACCTGGTAGCATCATGGTCCTGCCTCTAGAAAGGAGTAGAATTCAGATGTGTTGAAGATTGTGAGCCAGAGAGCAGGCTAAGGACTTCCACATGCATCTCATCTAACGCTCATCGCACTTTCCAGAGAAAGAACATGAACTCAAATCTTTCTGATGATAATGTAAGATTTTGCCCAGTGTCTCAGTCCAACGTGGTTGAGGTAATAAGTCAGTCATGAGTGGGGAGGTAATAAGTCAGTCATGAAACCTCTCTAAGCCTCCTTGTAACTTTATCTGCCAAACAGGAAAAAACAGAAAATCCTACAATGCTTATTTTAAAATGCTGTTTGGAAGCTACAAAAGATAATTTTGTACCACTGCACTCCAGCTTGGGTGCCAGAGTGAGACTCTGTCTCTAAAAAAAAAACAAGAAAGAAAGAAAAGAAAAGAAAAGAAAAAAACTCGTAAATGCAAATGCCCTAAATGCATACATAGAATTTTATTTTTAATAAAACAGTTGCTAACACTTAATTTTCTTAATCCAGAAAGGCATAAAATACAAATGATCACCCCCTGGGATTGCAATTATCAGTCATAACATTTTGGTACACTTCATTATCAGTTTTTTTTTTTGTTTTTTTTTTTTTTTTTTTTTGAGACAGAGTTTCGCTATGTCACCCAGGCTGGAGTGCAGTGGCTCAATCTCGGCTCACTGCAACTTCTGCCTCCCAGGTTCAAGCAATTCTCCTGCTTCAGCCTCCTGAGTAGCTGGGATTACAGGTGCACGTCACCACACCTGGCTAATTTTTGTATTTTTGTTAGAGATGGGATTTCACCATGTTGGTCAGGCTGGTCTCAAAATCCTGACCTCGTGATGCACCTGCCTTGGCCTCCCAAAGTGCTGGGATTATGGGCGTGAGCCACCGCACCCGGCCATTGTCAGTATTTTCTATGCACGTATCTGTCATACAAGGGAAGTCTCATTGTTCAGTATATACTTGCTTTATTTTTCTTCTCACATTAAGTTCTGGTAGAAAACAATTTCCCATGTGATAAACAAGCATTCACAGGCATAATTTTTATAGATAAAGCATAACCCGTTACGGGATTTTCAATTATTTTACTAAACCATTGAGTGAAGACATTTTAAAGGCTTTTAGTATGTACTGTAAAATTTCCTTTCTAAAAAATTGTTTCCATTTACCCTCCCAGAAACTCTGTTTAGGAAGGTCCACCCCTTAGAAATATCACCAAAACTGGTTATTATTTTTTCAGTAGCATTTTTTAAAAAGGGATTTCACTATTCTTTTTTAGTTTGCACCACAGTTATTAATGCGTATTAACGTGCTTTTGAATATTCCTCACATATTACATATTCACATCGTCTGTTTAACTTGAGGGCTTCTGTTAATTTGGACAGAAAAATGAAACTACAAATTTTACCAAGCGACACCGACCATTTACACAGAAGATATCTGATAGAGACTGAAGGAACAAGATGAGTGATGAAAAATCAAACACTTCCTTTTTACACGGGCACAGCAATGATTGAAGCTAAACACTTCAATCATTCACTCAACAAATTCATTCAAGAACTGTCATCGGTGCCTGCTAGGATCAGACACAATTATAGACTCTAAAGACATATCCGTGAATGGCCAATTCCCTGTGCTCGCGAAACATACATGCTAGTGGTAGGAGACCAGTGATAAATAAATACACAATAGATAGACAGTAGATAAGGAAGCGTGCTTCAAAAAATCATGATAATGCAGGACAAGGAAGATCAAGGAAAAAAATCCTCAGTAGAGATTGGATTAAAAGAATCAAATGAAATTTAATCCTTAAAACAATCTTGCGGCAGGGTGGTGGCTCACTCCTGTAATCCTAGCATTTTGGGAGGCCAGCGTGGGAGGATCACAAGGTCAGGAGTTCGAGACCAGCCTGACCAACATGGTGAAATCCCGTCTCTACTAAAAATACAAAAATTAGCCAGGTGTGGTGGCGGGCGCCTAAAACCCCTGCTACTCTGGAGGCTGAGGCAAGAGAATCACTTGAACCTGGGAGGCAGAGGTTGCAGTGAACTGAGATCATGCCACTGCACTCCAGTCTGGCGACTGTGCGAGACTCCATCTCAAAAACAAAAACAAACAAAAAAAAACTTGAAAGATGAATATCACTCCCATTTTAACAGCTCCAATTTTATAAGCTCTGTGCCTTTGGGCCTGTTATTCACCCTCTCTGAGCCTTCATGGTCTTACCTATAAAATCCCATCGCTGTTGTAGTAATACATAGAAAACACAGTATTTCCATGTGCTTTCAGCACATAGGCTGAGGTGGGAAGATCATTTGAGCCTGGGAGGTCAAGGCTGCAGTGAGCTGAGATAGCAACACTGAACTTCAGCCTGGGCAACAGAGTGAGACCCTGTCTCAAAAAATAAAAAAAGAAAGAAAAAAAGAAAAGAAATGGATCTTCAATAAGATCCAAGACATGCATCTTTGTGCTTTCAGCCTGAAGCATAAAGCAATCTGTCCATAGAGGACATCTCTATCAGGTCAGGTGCTATTTTAGCCCCCACACCTAGCATGGTGCCTTTGTAAGAGGTTCTCAATAGATACTGGTTAAATGAATGAAAAATAACATACTTTCAATCATTTGAACTCAAGCTTTAAAAATAAATACCTGTTTAGTAGGAAAAGAGACCCAGTCTTTCCCCAGTTCAACTTCTGTTCACAGAGAAGACTTTCTCAGTCTGACCTTCAAAGTTCTTCTATTTTCCTGCTACTATTTGCTGCTATCATCAAGATCTGCATCTAGGGCAGTCCCCCAGGGGCTGTCTGAGAGGGAGGACAGCATTTCAGGACACTCATCACCAGAGCATAAAGCGTGGCCAGGGAACGAGAATTCCAGAGAGATTGGACCAGTGGCTAAAGACACAGTTCTGGTCTGGTTATAAAGTAGAGAACGCTGAACTAAAAAGTTGAGCTGAACTTTCCCTGTAAATGACTGACAATCCCTTTTTATACAGGTAAGGTTTCATGAATAGAATTTTTTTTTACAAAGAATAATTCTCATTTGATTTTTTCTAAAAACAACTATGCCAGGATTTAAGCCTTTATTCTTACACTTTCTATTCCTTCAAGTCATCTTTGTAGCTTCCTGTTAAAAACAAGTTTCTTTCTTTGGCTAGATCACTTTGCAGGTAGAACTACAATCTCAGCACATTAATTCAAATGAAACCATGTGAGGAAAAAGGATAGGGCAGGGTGAGCAAAAGTTCAGAGGGGAGTTGTCTCACAAATTCAACAAGTGTTTGGCCTCAGTTCAGATAAAGAGGGCGTTTTAGCCAAGTGCAGTAGGTGATGCCCGTAATCCCAACATTTTGGGAAGCTGAGGTGGGTGAATTCCTTGACCCCAGAGCTCAATAGCAGCCTGAGTAACAGAGTAACATCTCATCTCTAAAAAAAAATGAAAAATAAAAAATAGCTGGGCATGGTGGCACACGCCTGTAGTCCCAGCTACTCTGGGGGCTGAGATGGGAGGATCACCTGAGCCTGGGAGATCGAGGCTGCAGTGAGCCATGATTGTGCCACTTCACTCTAGCCTGGGTGACAGAACAAGACCTTGTCTCAGAAAAAAAAAGGGGGGGTGGGGAGGAGTTTTGCTTTTGTAATCAATGTTGTAAACATCAAATATTTATGGCAATCAGATTATCTTTTTTTGTGACAATCTCATTCCTAGGAGTTGATTCTTACTAGTTCTGCACATTTATGTTGAGATTATCTGTGAAATGGATCTTCAGCCAGGTGTGATGGCTCACACTTGTAGTCGCCATGTTTTGGGAGGCCGAGGCAGGTGGATTGCTTGAGCCCAGGAGTTTAAGACCAGCCTAGATAACATGGTGAAACCCCATCTCTACAAAAAGTACAAAAATTAGCTGGGCATGGTGATGCATGCCTGTAGTCCCAGCTACTTGGGAGGCTAAAGTGGGAGGATTGCTCGAGCCTGGGAGGTCAAGGCTGTGGTAAGCTGAAATTGTGCCACTGCACTCCAGCCTGGGTGACAGAGTGAACTCCAGCCTGAGCCACAGAGTGAGACCCTGTCTCAAAGGAAAAAAAAAAAAAAAAGAAAAAAAGAAATGGATCTTCAATAATTTCTACAAAGGCAAGTTCTTGTCGAGACTGCTTCGGTGGGCTACAACTGTCTTGCCCTAAACCACTACCCATCCTTCTATTTATTGAGTAGGTACTGTGTACCGAGCACTGTGCTTAGCAATGGGGGTAGGATGGTGAGCCAGTGCCCACAGTCTAAGGAAGGAGGCAGTGACACAGATAGGCAGTTTCCATGTTCTAGGAAGTGGTCAGATGGAGGTAAGCACAGGGTGAAAACGCACACAGACCTGCATCTCTGAACGTAGCCAGTGCCTTTGGAGGAGTCTTACGAAGGAAGCCATATGATGCAGTCTTCCACACCTGGTACATGTTGCATTATGATAAGTGGTTCTCCGTGGAAAGTTTTTGCCCCCCCAACAAGGGACTTTTGACAAAGCCTGGTGACATTTTTGGTTGTCACGACTGAGTGCTACTGACATCTAGTGGGTAGAAGACAGAGACGTTACTAAGCATCCTACAAGGCACAAGAATTTTCCGACCCCAAATCTCAATTCTCAATAGTACCCAAACTGAAAAATCTGTTACAATGTACCTGTGAATCCAAGATGGTATTTCTCTGTGTTCCCTCATAATGTAGCATTGCCACAGACATATTAGTGGGTACTAGTAAATATTTATTTGATAGAAATTGGGAATTGCCCCAGGGGAGGGATAGGAAATATTCCTGGGTCAGGGAATCCTGTACTAATACTGCTTCTTGGGACTGCTCAGAGCAATCTCACCTAAGGTAGCAAATCCCACCTAGGGTGGAGACAACGGGAACCTCTCCTGCCTCCATGACCAGGCTAGCAATGCAGGGTGGGGCATGAGCATTGAGAGAAACTCCATCTGTGGGGCAGGCACACAGGGAAGACTAAAAGATCAAGGTGCACAAGAACATTGAAAAAAAAAATCCAGCACCCCAGTCCCCACAAGGTAACCCTAGAGAAATTGGAAGCTGATGATGCAATGAAGAAGACAATAGCCATGATAAAGAAAAAAAAAAAAAAAATCCAACCAACACTCAACCCCTAACTAGATATAACCAAAAGAAGAAGGGCCATGACCCTTCCAGGCATAAATACTGTGGTTCAATGTTCCACAGAGGATAAGAGGTAACGGGGGATTCAACGAACCCCTGACCCACCTTGCCCAACTCAACCCTGGTGCCAATAAAGACTAATACTAGCCAGGGCACGGTGGCTCACGCCGTTATCCCGCACTTTCGGGAGCGCAAGGCAGCGGATCATGAGGTCAGGAGATCAAGACCATCCATGGCTAACACAGAGTGAAACCCCTTCTCTACTAAAAATACAAAAACTAGGCGGGCGTGTGAGTGAGGGCCTGTAATCCAGTTGTGCTTGGCAGAAGGGCTGAGGTGGGGAGAATGGCCTGAAGCCTAGGAGGCGGAGCTTGCAGTGAGCTGAGACTCGCACCACTGCCACCATCCAGCCTGGGCGACAGAGAGAGACTCCGTCTTAAAAAAAAAAAAAAAAAAAGACTAATACTAATACCCTAATATTAATATTACCTAGGCTTAAAGGTTTTCAAAGACATAGGGAACCCTTTATGATCTTCATCTTGTTCACCCTTATGTCTTCCAGTTGGGTACCCCTTAATAGTTCACTAATGTCTTTAATAATATTAATAGTGATACATGTATTCAGTGTGGTTAGCGACACCTGTGTTCTTGGCACAGTGCATGCTGTGTTCTGTGTTATCCTCCCATCCTCAAAAGGGTATCAGTGCCTTTGTTACCTCCATTTCACAGATGAGGAAACTGAACCTCAGGAAACGGAAGCTAAGTAATTTTCCATGTTCTCACAGTGAGCGCGAGCTGGAGGTGGAATCCTAACCCGGGCCTTCCCACGAGGCCATACCCTGACCTGCCTGCCTCATTGCTTTCATGTACCTGATCCCATAGATGGATCATCATGTTAACTCAGGGACATGAATGATGAGCATTTTTCCTATGATAAAGATGAAAAATCTGAAGTTCATAATATACTCAATGTCTTTTCCAAAGCCAGCAATAGAGGCAGGATTGGTTCTCAACCCTGCGTGTTGTTATACCAAACACCACTCAGGCCACCGCACCCTTCATTGGCAGAGGTGCATGTATTTATATGTGTTTGCTGACAGTCAACCATACATTGAAAACCAGAGAGCCCGGGGACTTATGGCTTTATCCTTGGGAACCTAACCACAGACAGTGTCAAGACATCAGATGGGGTCATAGTCACAACTGAAGAGATAATGGTGCCACATTGTCTTCTACAGGTGGACAAGCCCATTTCCAAGGACATCAGAAGCCAAAACATTAAAGGTAAGGTCATGTCACTCAAAGTGTAAAATGTAAGTATGGAAACATGTATTTTGCTTCTAAGATCGTCTTGCATTGCTGTTCGTGGTCATGGGTGACCTTACACAAGGCGATCTATTGAATTACACTTCAGGAAATAACTACTAATTTTAGTGGAGTCTCACACACTTTATGTCTTTTTATTGCCTTACCTTCTTGATGAAGAAATTGATTGTAAAAATTCACATTCTTTGTTGTGCAATTTTGGAAATGAATTGTTTTGAAACATATGGATTGCATTAAATATATAATCATGTTATCTCTCCAAGCATACCCTCAGAAAAGTCACAAGATAGAAATCTAATTTTAAAACATTGATTAATTAATATGAAAACAGATTTTAAGGCCTGAGGCGAAACAACTCAATTTGAAGACAAAAATACAGGTACGAGCCTGAAAGCAAATAATCAATTTCAGCAGTGCTAGAAGGATAAATGGAAGATAAGCCAGACATTTAATGGTATTGTATCCATTATAGCTTCTCTCATCATTTTCCCCCGTGCCCCTATGTCCTTTTATGATGCTTGATTGGAAAAGATGACAATGCCAAGATTCACTTTGCCCGATAACTGAAACATATCAAATTCACCTTTCATGTGTCTAATGGTATTGTCTATAACGTATTATTAGTGCCATCTTTTCTTTAATGGGAAAGTGTACCAGTTAGGGTCCCAATAGGCAATAGACAGCATACTCAAATTAGGATCATTGAAGGAAATGTATGGCAAAGAAACTACTTACCAGGTGAGTGTGGTATAGGGGGAAGAATAAAGAACAATGCAAGAACCATGGCTGACAGCAGCGGGGCTAGCCCCACCCCTAGGTGAAGAGGGCTGAGGGAACAGTGACTGAAAACTACAAGGAGCCCACCGCCTGCAGGGGAGCAGTGACCACTGGTCCTGGGACACCACCAGCCCAGTCAGACTTCTTGGGGAGGGGGCCAAGGGAGTAAACCCCCCACCTCTCTCTCCAACCTCTCTGTGACCTCCTGCTGGGGCTTCCCAATGGCTAAACCTAACTAGAAGCGAGAGGACAGGGACCTGTGTGTCCCTACTGGTCAGTGTCACCAGGCGGAGAGCAGTGTAGAGGAAGGTGAAGCTGGAGGGAGGTTCTGGAGGGCAAATGGAAGACACTCATAGCAGGAAGTGCCAGCGCAGTGAAAAGCGGACGGAGAGTAGCCAAAACCTAAGGCACACTCCCAAGCTGTGTGACCTTAAGTAAGACCCCTAACCTGAGTTCTCCTTTTATTTATTTATTTATTTATTTATTTATTTTTATTTTTTATTTTCTTTTTTTCTCTTTTTTGAGACGGAGTCTTGCTCTGTTACCCAGGCTGGAGTGCAGTGGCCTGATCTTGGCTCACTGCAACCTCCGCCTCCCTTGCTCCAATCGATGTCTCCTGCCCGCTTCCTGAGTAGCTGGGATTACGCATGCCCACCACCACGCCTGGCTGGCTAAATTTTTGTATGTTTTAGGAGGGACGGGCTTTCACCATGTTGGGTCAGGCTGGTCCTCAAACTCCGGACTTCGTGATCCCACCCACTTCGGCGCCTCCCAAAATGCTGGGATTAACAGGCGTGAGCCACTGCACCTGGCCCTTCTCCTTTTTTTTTTTTTTTTTTTTTGAGACGGAGTCTCGCTCTGCCGCCCAGGCGGAGTGCAGGCCGGATCTCAGCTCACTGCAAGCTCCGCCCCCGGGTTCCCGCATTCTCCTGGCTCAGCCTCCCGAGTAGCTGGGACTACAGGCGCCCCCACCAGGCGGCTAATTTTTTTTGGTTTTTATAGGGACGGGGTTTCATCGTGTTAGCCAGGATGGTCTGGATCACCTGACCTCGTGATCCACCCGCCTCGGCCTCCCCAAATGCTGGGATTACAGGCGTGAGCCACCGCGCCCCGCCCCTTCTCCTTTTCTTTAACCAGCGCATTATAGAACAACACCTGGTGAATTATGTAGAGAAAGTATTTTCACTCCTCTTAACAGAGAAAGGGATGGGAAGAATAGAGGGATCACAGACCAGACCACAATCAACTGTTGCAAAAATGACCTCAGTCATAAAAATATGCTTTGTAGGCATTCATGAAGAAATGAGTCCTGGAGAGAAATCAGATGAGAAATGAACTTTATAATTGCCATCTTATTCACAGTTCACTATGGGCATCCACCCTCACTGCTTTGACTGCAGAAATTTCTTCGACCATTATTCCACATATCAATATGTCTATTTACCTCTCTATCTGTATGTTTATCTACCCTATGCCTCAGTTCACAAAGATATTAGTTAATAAAAGCTTGAACAATAAAATAGAAGAAAATCTACGTAGATGACATAATTAAAATAAAGATAAAATGTAAGATCCTCAGGCATGCATCACTAAATTCTACTATAATTAAACTGTTAATTTGCCTCTGAGCTACCTGATAGTCTAAGCAAAAAGGAAATCAAGCTTCCTTATGTGATACAAATTTCCCATTACAAGAAACAAACCAGTTCCTCAGAGAGAGCAAGAAAAACATATCTTTCAGGATTGAGTTGGTGCTCTGTTTTATAGCGAATGTTGGGTCCCATGACTACAAAAATATGAGCGTTTTGTAAAGCAGACTTCAGTGACAGCAAGCCTCAGAGAGGTTGAGGCTTTTGCGGGTGGGGCAGGTTGTATAGAAGACTTCTTCAAGAAGAGTTATTTTATGTACAGCATCCTCGCCTACATTTCCATCACTGATGGTTCCCCATTACCATCCAGAGCTCTAAGGTACCATATCTAGAACGAGGCTGGAAGGGGGGAAATTAATATGAATGCCCCCCCATTTTTGGATCAGGCATCTTGCTGAAAAATGCTTGGATGATTTATGTGTTTATTACAAAATTCTGTATTTTTGATGCAAACACATTCTCAGATAATTTATTCACTCTCACAAAAATGTCATAAAAAAACATATCGGTTGATTCAGTAATGGCAGAATTTTATGGTGATATTTTTCATTAAGTTGAGCAGTTATAGATTTATGTTAATATACATTTTATGTCATTTTTCTTACAATCATATTCTGACATTATCTGTAAACTGTCAGATTTCAAGAACTTATCTTCCCTAAAGCTTGACTTTTTGTTTTTCATTCCTAAAAATAGGTAAAAGTTTATTTGGAGGCAAAGTATTTAGAATACAAGTTGTGTGTGACAAACCACTAGCATTGACCATAGATCTAGAAGAAATCATCTTAGTTTCAGATAGGGATAGCTATAATTTTCAAATACAGTGTGGCTTATTTTTCTAGAGAAACCAAAGCTCAGAATAAAGGAAGCTAAATTGCATTTTCTCTTTGCTGTAGATGTGAACCAAGCACAAACTCTAAGCCAATTTCCTTTGAGGTGACAAGCATACATATACAAGAATGAATTTATAAAGAAATACAACACGCCTCCGAGAAAAGAAAAAAAAGAGAGAGAGAATTATGCATAGGCTAGTGAACCTGTATATCCAGAAACACAAGCTGATTGAAAGAAGCAAAGTAGAATTCCACAAAATGCCATCAAAAGACCTTTATACTAGTTTGCTTTTAGACAAGTTTAGATGCTGAAGAAATTAGAATCAGAAATGAGTTTAATCTGGGTCAATTCCCTCATTTTACATAAGGAAGCTTAGCAAGGGAAGTGGCTTGCTCAAGGCCATCAGCAAGTAGTCACAAGACCAGAGCCAAGGTTTATTCCACTATGGTAATGTTGCCAGGGTTTTCTGTGTTTGCTAGTGTATAAAATGCATTCTGCAAACTCTCCCTCTCATTTGGTAACGAACATCCCATTCATCCAGACTATACAAAGCGCAGAGCCAGAGTGAGTTGATAGATGATACTGCTCCCTAGTGGCAGAATTTGGCAACACACAATATTGCAATAATGATGAAATTTGGTATTTTCTATCCTTTGCAGAAATAACACGCCTGAGGTTGCAGAATTCATCAGAAACAAATGTAATATTATTCCCCTACCATTTTACATGTAAATGTATTTCAGCCACAACACATGGCTCAAAAGCAACAGAGACATTGATATAATGCTCATTCAAAGTTAACAGTATTAACTTCATGAAATCACTCATTAATTGAACTACAGAACAGTATTTTGTCTCACCACCACACAAGAAAAATAATACAGCTCAGAGAAAAGGAAAGGGATCTGTAACTGCTTGATGTAACAAATTTATTTTCTGATAGAGAAATATAAAGTAGGCAGAAACAGGAGACTGAAGAACAAGGTATTTAATAAAGGAAGCTCCAGAAAATTTATATCTCCCAAATAATAATTCCCCAACAGAATTGCAATGTACAAGAACTGCCTTTTATGTAGGCAAAATATGGCCTTCCCCATGAAACCATTTCAAAACGGCTTGAAGTACGTGCATAATGAAAAGCATTTTTTGTTTTCCTTGTAATGTTGGGCTGTTCACTGGAATCAACCACCCCAGTTTGCTCTGGATGGAGGGGTTCTTCAGAAGTAGGACATTCCAAATTAAAACCAGAGACCTCTGGGGTAAACTGGGACAAGCGGCCTCTATACCTGCATGTCTTATGTGCAAGCCAGCAGAATGGAGGCGTTATTTTGTATATTTAATCAAAAGTTTTAAAATAGCGCATCTCCACAATGCAGCCCCTCCTTGAAACTGAGGCATAGCATCCCTCACAGATAATTGAGTTGGTCAAGAGCCTCACCACCTTCCCAGGAAGCACACCCTACCTTTAAGAAGCCCCAGTTCTTTACTTTCAGCTAAATATGAGGAACAATGTCTTCCTACAACATCCTCCCATTGGTCCTTGCTCTAAGATGAAATGAATGAAGTTCTAAGTAGCTCAAAGTACAGTTATCTGAAATTAATTGGGTGAGATGTTGAGAATCATATTAAATAAAAGGGAAGGCCAAGCACGGTGGCTCACACCTGTAATCCCAGCATTTCGGGAGGCCAAGGCAGGTG